AAGGCAGAGGAGGCTGGGAGCCACAGGGGAAGGCTCAAAGAACCGCATGCGGCTCCGGAGCCGCAGGTTGCCGACCTGTGGACTAAGGCGATACCCAGACTGTGCCCTATATCATTTCAGACAAATGGTTGTCCAGTCTCTTCTTAAAAATTTCCAGTGTTGTCCAGTCTCTTCTTAAAAATTTCCAGTGTTGGAGCATTCACAACTTCTGGAGGCAGGTTGTTCCAACCTTCCAAATGTCTTTTATAAATGAATGCTGCTTCAGTCTTCACTAGCTTGCTGTTCGGGCAGCCTGAAATAAACTCAAAGTGTTCTGGTGTGAAAAATAATGATTTCCTCTTGTTCAAAAAATTTCTAAGTGAAGAACCTTGATATGATCAAGGTTGGTATTTTGGTCCAGTAGGTCTTCCTTATCCCTCCTCTCCAGCTGCTGGATTCTCCATAGCTATTTGTGCTCCATAGCTATTTGTGCTCCATAGCTATTTGTGCCAACAAAAGTGCCTATAGTCCAGGCCATGGTTTTCCCAGTTGCAATGTAGGGCTGTGAAAGTTGGACCATAAGAAAGGCTGAGTGCCAAAGAATTGAGGCCTTTGAACTATGGTGCTGGAGAAGACTTCTGCGAGTCCCTTGGCATTCAAACTGGTCAGTCCTAGAAGAGATCAACCCCGACTTCTCTTTAGAAGGCCAGATCCTGAAGTTGAAACTCAAATACTTTGGCCACCTAATGAGAAGGAAGGACTCACTGGAGAAGGGCCTAATGCTGGGAAAGATTGAGGGCAATAGAAGAAGGGGACGACAGAGAATGAGATGGCTGGATGGAGTCACTGAAGCAGTAGGTGTGAATTTAAATGGACTCCAGAAGATGATAGAGGACAGGAAGACCTGGAGGAATGTTGTCCATGGGGTCGCGATGGGTCGGACACGACTTCGCAATTAACAACAACATTTGTGCTGTGGCTTCCAGATAGACCAAATGCCTCTGTCTTGCACTATTTCTTTGTTTTAGGGGTTTGGTTTGGTTCAGAGATAGGAACATTGATCTCATGCAAGACCCAATGCTGGTCTTCCAGGAAGTAGATATTCCTATTAGAACACAGAAATTGTAATGTACTGAACTCAATTATTTACCAGGTTTGGAGGCTCAGTCCTAGTATGTTGTATTCCCTCCTGTAGATGGAATGAAGAATGTCATGTATTTTTCAATCACTCCTTGTAAAACTTGTATAAGTTCAAGTGTGAGCAATACTTACAGTGACCAACCCTGATGTTGAGACATGGTGAAGGTATTCTGTAGACCTAGTGTGCTTTTCACATTGACATTGTCCTCCTTATTTAAGAATAGGACAAATACATCTTACTATGACTGTTATGAATCTTCCTTGTCTCTGCATCCAATGGCATAAAGTTCAGCAAACTTATGAAAAGACTCAATCTATTTTATTTAGGTTAATGATTTCATAAAGCAGGCCTACAGTATGTGTTGGATGTTCCTTTTTGATAGGTCATACATAAATTTGGAGGTCCAAAGATGGGATAGGTGACCAACATAGCTTTCCACCTCTGCCCAGATTTCCATCCACATAAAGATTTGCTTGATCGAGGAAAGCAAATCAGTGTGGTTTCAATCAAGGAAAATGAATGGGAAGATGGTATAAGCTTAATATTTGTATCAATGTTTTATAAATTATTATTTTATAAAGTATGTTCTTGAAAACAGAGTGATGCAATGGATCAAATATTGGATCTGTATGTCTACTTACCCTTAAAGAGGGAGACCTTGAGCCAATTGTAATTTCTTAGCTATTCATAATTTCTTAGTATATAAAAGTTGCTATATTGATATTATGAATGAAATAACCTCGTATAAGCTTCCTTAGATAGCTTAGATCAGAGATGTCAAACACAAGGCCCAGGGGCTGGATGTGGCCCGCAAAGTGGTTTCATGTGGCCCGCGAAGCCATCCTGGAAACAGTGAGGGAACGACCCCTCTGCCTTGGCCCTGGCCCAGGCCAGCTGGGAGCCAATGTACAATTTTGTGGGGGCCATCTATGCTGAAACGCATTCAGTCTTAGCTCCATAACCCCCCCCCAATGGCCTGAGAGGAACAGTGAGGCTCCTCCAGTGGACCATGCCTCGGCACTTGCCCCTTCTGCCAGAGACCCTCAGATCTATCCCACTTCTGCCCAGGCACCCTTGACACAAATGATGTAGAGCTGGCCATGCCCACCCAGTAGGCCACACCCACTCAATCCACACCTACCCAGTAGGCCGCACCCACCCTGGCCACACCCACCCAGCACCCTGAGGGCAACTGCAATGCTGATGCGGCCCTCAATGAAATTGAGTTTGACACCCCTGGCTTAGATAGAGAGTGGGATATTATTATGTTAAAAATGAGATCAGCAAACCATTAAAACATCAGGTTATCTATATGTATTTATTTATTTATTTGTGAGACTTATATACCGCTTTAAGTGCAAGCACTCTCTAAGCAGTGTACACCAGTAAGCAATGTATATATATATTTACATTGCCCCCAACAATCTGGGTCCTCATTTTACCTACCTCGGAAGGATGGAAGGCTGAGTCAACCTTGAGCCGGTGAGATTTGAACCGCTGACCTGCTGAACACAGTCAGCTAAAGTGGCCTGCAGTACTGCACTCTAACTGCTGCGCCACCTATATGACCAGTGAGCATTTTATCTTGGCTCCACTGTGAAATTAATTAAGGAATTTTATCTCATACTATTGTAAGATATCTGAGTGTATTTTTTTGTGGGGACTGTGCTTTTCAGCTACAAACCCTGTTAATCCAAGAGACATTGCATGTTAAAAAAAAAGTTTCTAAATTTGAAAATTTCAAATGATTGTAAACCATTTTTGTAAACCATATTTTTTAATATGGAGTGGTATGTAAATACTTTTAACAAGTAAATATATCAGACAGGACTTTAGTGAAGGGATGAATGGGATAAATTATTGTATGAATCTCAGTCTTCTTTTTTTTCAAGAGCAGTTGTATTTTTTTGCGGCCCAATTTTTCCTTTCTGCTTAAAAAGATACACTTATAGCAAGTCATATCTGTTTGTAGAAACATACATACTATATCTTTTTTTCTATATTCTCATTGTGCTATTAAAAAACAACTCTCAATATCATTTTTAGAGGGGCATCACTAATATTAGATGTATCCCATTTTTATAAGCATGTTTTTGTGCAGTACAAAGGAGAAGCTCAACGCAGAGACAAAATTGGCCCAAACTGCAGACATATAATTACTTGATATAATATATATCAAGATATAATACTTGATTCCACTGCTTGTGAAAAATATTAAGCCAATTATTTATAAAAGATGAATGACGTAAACGACATAACATTCCCCCAGCCCTGTCAGTACATTGTGATTTAACCATAATTCTTATTTCTGTCTAAGCCATATGAATGTCTTGGAGGCCTTGTGCAACACTTTTTTAGTTCCTAATTTCTCAAAATTAGTTTGAAGACAATTCATATTTTTATTTACTTCTTTCAGCCATGAGCCAAATCTCAACATCACCCTGACCTATCAAATACCCTAATTTCCCTTCTCTATGATTTAAAGGAGGGTGGTTAAGCTGCTGATCTAGAAACCAGGAGGCTGTGAGTTCTAGTCCCACCTTAGGTATGAAAGCCATTTAGGTGACCTTGGGCCAGTCACTGCCTCTCAGCCCAACCAACTCACAGTTTTATTGGTGTGGGGAAATAGGAGGAGGAAGTAGTATTATGTATGATTACCGCCTTGAATTATTTATGAAAAAATAATAATAGTGTGATAAAAAAAATCTAATATAAATAAATAAATCCCCACATTGCATGCATCTTTCTGGCCATTTGCAGAAGCAGATCATAAATAAGGAATCCAAACAGTTTCTACAGAGGAGCTGTAAGCTTCCTGGTCACCATTTCCCTTAAAATCCAAGAAATAATTATTGAGAGAATCCTGTGGAGAACTCTCTACAAGCACTGTAGTACTGTTAAATAATAGTCTAGCATTACTCCAATTCGAGATAAACCTTCTGCAGAAAATAAAAGTGAGCTCTTAAAAGAGTGAATATTAATGGAGGTCACACAGTGAATTGCTTCAAAGACTCTGGAAGGATGAAATTATTATTTTTTGCGGCCCAATTTTTCCTTTCTGCTTAAAAAGATACACTTATAGCAAGTCATACCTGTTTGTAGAAACATACACACTATATCTTTTTTTCTATATTCTCATTGTGCTATTAAAAAACAACTCTCAATATCATTTTTAGAGGGGCATCACTAATATTAGATGTATCCCATTTTTATAAGCACGTTTTTGTGCAGTACAAAGGAGAAGCTCAACGCGGAGACAAAATTGGCCCAAACTGCAGACATATAATTACTTGTCTTCTCTAACAAGTCCTTTAGAAGGAAAGCGATTAGTACTGAAAAAGGAAATACAATCCATTTTAGTGCTTTGCTCCTATATAATTTCTAGACGTGCCCCAAAATGACTAAGCTGATTTAATAAAGTAACAATTCCTGGGCTCAGTCTATTTCTTGGTTTGATGTAATCCACTTCTTGTTGCATTTTCCTTTTTTCCTCCACCTTGGGGGGTGGGGAGCGAAAGAGAAACAGCTAACTGTAAATTTTGGCAGGGAATTCAATTTGCATCATTTTGTTAGAAGTCACATGAGTGAGATTCCTTCCTGTTTATGATAGATTGGAAATGCTTTCCAGATGTTTGAAATTATTCTTTTAAAGCAAGCTGATCCTTACGGAAATTCCCTGTATTGTTTTATTTTAAACAGGCAAAAATAAAAAGTCAATGCATTAAGATACGTGCAGCTAACTAACCAAAGAGCCCAATTGAACTATATGCATTTCCTTACACAATACGGTCAGGCAGTCACACGGACAACCAGGCTGTTCATAGACAAAACGAGCTGAAATGAAACGTACTTTCAGTTCCTGTTTCCAACTGAGATCATCACCAGTCCCAGCCCCAAGCGCATTGCTATTGGTCTAGGCAACGTAAACTACTTACATACGCATAAACACCTTTCAAGTGTATTATTAAAGTTGAAAGCAGCAGCTAGTTGACAGTGTGCTTTCTAAAGTTTGGAGACAGGATCTGAAGAGAAAAAGAGATGACGTTGCACTGTGGCTTCGTAGTGTTGATACTGTGCAATGCAAAGGGTTTCCTGTTGAAATTATACTAGGCTTGCTCTGCTAAGAGCTGAAAGGACGTCCGATGATTTTCCAAGGCCATACATGCTGAGACAAGACTCTGAGCATAATAAAGACATTTACCAGCAGTGAAAGAACTTGGCAATGGACAGTGAATATGAATCTTTAAAAATGTACTCTGACTCAACCCCTTTAATCAACATAGGTAAGTATCTCTTCTTTGTAATCAAGGCACAAAACTGCCTCTTTCCTGTGCCTGAATGCATTTGGGAAGAGGAGAGAAAGATAGAATGCAAGGGAGATGATGGTTGTATGCCTGGTGTTCTCGAAGTATATTCCTCCAATCACCCACAGACACACATGCAGGCTTACAGCGCTTTAAAATACTATTAGCAAAACGTGGTTTTAACAGAAAATAGTCAGTCTGAAGCGAAACTCATTCAGGCAAGTCCATATCTCATTGCAAGGCCTAAGACACAAATATGAGATAAAATTGATCTTTATATGCTCGCTCCTAGGAAGATTAAAAAAGAAAAACCTTCGGTAATTTGTTATCTTATTTTCCAAATTGTGTTTTGGAGGAGACTGGTATTCTTCAAGTAACTGTGAGAGAAATCAGTTTGGAGAGACTGTTTAGAAAGCTTTCCTCACCACTTTGGATTTTTCATGCAAGCATCCCTGTGAGGAACTATTGGATATATTCTAGAGGGCACATTAAATTCCTATAGTACAATCAAAGCATAGTGTGAAACTGCAAAGGTGCTGCATGATATTTCCCAGAAATCTCAAAGTTGTTAAATTGGCCTACCCAAATACACTGTTCTTCAGATACATTTGGATTGTAGCTCCAGAAATTTCAGCTGTTTCGTATCTATAACCCAAATATATTTAAGGGCACCTGGTTGAATAATGGTTTTATGGCAAGACCACAGGAATTTTACAATAGATGTGCAAGAGCTGAAGTCTTGGAAACTAAAGATCAGGTGAAGTGTTTCTCATTTTGGTACAAGGATATTTCTTTAAAAAAATTACCATTTAGTATCCTGGGCCCTTCTGATTTCAGCGTGACTACTTTTTGATCTGAATATCTATGAATCAAGCTCATGTATTTTAATCCCTTGGTCAGGACAGAAATCCCAATTAAAATATTCCTAACTTTTATATAGCAGAGTTTTGCACTGCAGATAGAAAATTATATTTCACATTCCAGACATGGAATGGTGGTATAAGGGCCAAATATTATGATTCTTGGGCTAAACAGAACCATTTTACACATTGTGTGACTGAAACCCCACCTCTGTTTTACATGTGTCACATGCAGTGATGGGATTCAGCTGGTTCGTACCACTTTGGCAGAACTGGAAGCTAATATTTTACTGCCCAGGCCCAGAATGGACTTCCGGAAACGGCATCCATACAGAGAACTGGTTGTTCACATATTTGAATTCCACCACTGGTCACATGTGTTGAGTCAGATAAAAATGGGGGGGCTTCATCCATGTGGCAGTAACCTCTTAACCTTTTAGATCCCCCTCACAGAAAGTAAAAAAGCTACAGAAAACTGCTCTGCCCCTTTCCATTTGTCACTTAGCTAATGTTTCTACTCCTGTCTGTTGACCACAGTGAAGGTTCCCCCTTTCTTGCATGTATACTTTTCTTTATGTCTTCTTGCTTCCCTTGGATTGGAAATACTGAAAAGTTTAACTTTCTCCAGGTTGAGTGATTGAGTCAGATGCCTTTGGTAAAATATTGTTTCGAGCATTTTCATTACCAGTGAGGGGGAAGGAGGAACTATGGCACTGCAAGGAAGAAGAATTCAGGAACTAGTATACAGAAAAGAAGTCAGGAGAGCTGCGGCAGAATAGCTATTAGGTGAGATGTCAAAGGCACAGGAGAAATATCGGTGGGCAACAGTTGCACGTCACATTTGTAAGGAAAATGTTTGCTACTACATTGAATTTCCTCAGGCCTTGTGGCCTGGATGTTGCAATAATGGAGCCTTTTTGCATTTGGTTTGGTTTGTTGTTGATTTTTTACCTGACATCTTTATTGTTTCTACGGTTTTCTTTTTATTAGATTTTTTAATTCTGCCTTTATAGTTTTTAAAGTCATTCAAGGAAGCAAACGTAAGCTTTCCTCCTCCTCTTTTTCCCCACAACAATATAGCTGAGAGAGAAAGCATGACTGGCCCAAAGTCATTCAGCCGGCTTTCATGCCTAACGCGGAACTCGAACTCACAGTTTCTTGGTTTATAGGCCAACGCCTTAACCACTTTACCAAACTGGTTGTCTACGAATGGTTTTGGTGCTTGCAGTGGTGGGAGGCCATACATGCTTGCATAATAAATTTAAAATACAGAATCCTGCCCTTTTTTCATGTGGATAAAATTGTCCATTTCTTGTTAAGACATAAAGTAGATGGATAGTATATTGATGATTATAAGGTGAATATGAAACTTTGCTATATTAGTTCTGTTTTGGACCTGTTCACGCTGTCAAGTACTCAAACATGGGCAATTCTCTGAAACCCATCCAGTTTTATGGAATATAAAATATATGGCTACATATTTTATTTTTATTTTTAAATTTTATTTTATTTAAATAAAAGTTGTCTATTGGTTACACCGTTAAAAATAGTGGTTTTGTTTCATACCACCAAGTATCTCTTTCATATATAAAACCATGTGTCTCCAATTGTGAATGTGTGTTTGGAGAAGAATTTATTTTTATACACATACAATTATAGGATCTGTAGCAACTGCTTCTAGTTCCCAAAAATGAATATGTTTTAGAGGTCAACAAATTAGGAATGCCAGACAGAGAAAGAAAATACAGCTGTCGAATATAGTAATTACAGGAATAGTCTTGTCATACAACAAGAGAAACAACAATAGAAAATAGGCTTTATTTTAAAAAATGCTTATAAAAATGGGGATGACTGAATAACTATCCAAAATTGACAAATGCTGATTTTACAAGATGTCAGTTTCACCTGCATTTTGATATGTCTATAGATTGTTATTAATAAAAACATGCATCCAGTTTTTAGGATAATGCTATACTTTGTGGAATACGCTGACAGACTATGCTTCAATTATATGTGCTTTGACCATAATACATTATTTGAGATTAATCCCACATGTGGCAAAATAAGAAATTAATAGCATGCTGTCATTTAAAGATAACTTAAGTAAGCAAAATAATTGGTCCAGCTATTATCAGTTGGCATTGTGATATCCTATTTGGCAACCATTATAAAGGTTACAATCATTCCTTTAGTGACCATTCAAAGCACTGAAAAAAGTGACTTTTGACCATTTTTCTCATGGCATTGAAACATTCCCATGATCACATAATCAAAATTCAGATAGTAGGCAACTGACTCTTATTAATGATGGTTGCAGTGTTCTGGGATCATGTGATCATCTTTTGTGACCTTCTGACACAACGTCCATGGGAAGCCAGATTTCCTTAACAACTGTGTTATTTAACTGAACAGCTGTATTCTCTTTAAATTAAAATAGGGGTGAAGTGCAGTTTTACTCTTGGCACTGTTGCCTCAGTTTCAGGTTTAGCCTTACTATGAAGTAGAATGAGGCATCTGTCCCAGAAAATGGATACAGGTAGCCCTTGACTTACGACTGTAATAAAGCTCCACAATTATGCTAGTAAGTCATGATGGCTGTAAAGCAGGTCACCATATAACTGGACTTGATTTTATGATCTTTTTTGTGGCATTCGTTAATTGAATCCTATGATCGTTAAACAAATGCCACGTTACTAAGTGAACATGGAAGTTGTTAAGCAAACACTATGGTCATTAGGCAAACCCATTGTTTGCTATGGGACAATAAAGTAAGTAAACATTGGTTTCTGGTAAAACTATAATAAACTGCAATTGTGTAATTGTGGGGTGCTGCAAATGGCCATAGGTATGTAGTCACTTCCATTCTTGCATGTAAATGACAAGTGACAATGGGATATTTGGCTGTACAATATCATATTCCTCTAAGTTAGACTGCTTCCTTTAGGTGGGCTGAAGAGCCAAATACCATTGATTTACACCACTACCTGGAATTTGGAAAGTCTCATCTCATCCTTTGCTATTTTGCCTGAAGTAAAAAGGAATCATTGCTGAATTTGTGAAAATACTGGCCTTCTCAAGCTTTTTTTTTTTTTTTGACTGAAATATCTTAAGGCCTCATCCTTAACAGGCCTTAAGGATGAGGCCCGTAACCCAGACATCTTGGATTACAGCTCCCAATATCCTCAACCATCACTACTCGAAATAACTGCCTTAAGGTAAACTGTGAAAAAAGACTATTTCACCTACTTCCAGAATGAATATTCTGGAATGAGAATTCTACAGGAAAAATTCTGAATTAATTGACAGTCCTTCTGCAGTGTTACCTCAGGCTTACTGGATTGTTCTCGGATATGAATCGTTTAAAGGATTAGCAGTTTCATACTGGATTGTAGGTGGGAAAATCTCATTTGCTAAAGGCACCTGATGATGAGAAAAGTGCTGCCATCACTTTTCCTTGTAATTGTGGAAGATTAAATTTACCCTCCCTGAGCAAATGAATGCTATAAATGTCACAAGAAAAGTGATGTGATGATGTTTTCAAGCATTATTTGGATATTCATCACAGTTGAAGGCAATGAATACTAAAATAATGAAGCAGAAGCCATAAATAATCCTCCGAGTGGCCACTGGTAACACTTTCTACTTCTTGAGGAGTGTGTGACATTGTATGTTGCTGACTCTATACTCACATTGTGCAGTGTATGAGGAAGTCTAAGGGTTGGTAGGAATGACTAATGCTCCCACCCCCCCAATACACACATCACAAATCACAGTGCCCCTGAGAATATGGCCAGGGAGGAATTTGTGGAATGCTTACAACTTAACTCATCCAACAAAGAATATTTATTTGTGTATTAATTTATTTTATTAACATTTCACAAGCTATATAGTTATTGTTTTTTTACTGATCACTCTCTGTTCAGAGTTTACAAGCCACGACTTGATGGGGAGTGAAGGTTTGCCTGTTTCTATCCTGTGCTGATTTTTGTCTGCAACCAATTAGTAAGAGAACTTGGAACATGTTTTATTAATTTCTGTTTGAGATAACAATTCTAACACTGCAGTGCTTCTCCCCGTTTTATCAGTATAGAGATGGAGAAAGAGACAAGGAAAAGGAAT